ATATAATATGGTGTGAACCAGTACATTAATAAGAGAAAAATACTAACATGACAGAAAGATGCTAAGTATTGATATAATATGGTGTGAGCCAGTACATTAATAAGAGAAAAATACTAACATGACAGAAAGATGTAAAGTATTGATATAATATGGTGTGAGCCAGTACATTAATAAGAGAAAATACTAACATGACAGAAAGATGCACAATATTGATATAATATGGTGTGAGCCAGTACATTAATTAGAGAATAATACTAACATGACAGAAAAATGTGAAGTATTGATATAATATGGTGTGAGCCAGTACATTAATTAGAGAATAATACTAACATGACAGAAAAATGTGAAGTATTGATATAATATGGTGTGAGCCAGTACATTAATTAGAGAATAATACTAACATGACAGAAAGATGTGAAGTATTGATATAATATGGTGTGAGCCAGTACATTAATTAGAGAAAAATACTAACATGACAGAAAGATGCACAATATTGATATAATATGGTGTGAGCCAGTACATTAATAAGGGAAGAACATTGGTACCACTTGTAATAACTGCTATTTAGAATTTCATAAGGAAAACAAAAATTCAACAAACTCACACTAAAGAAAAGAGAACTTCTCGGCACAGTATGAAATAAAAAGTAGAGTAAAGAGAAGGCTATACTGTTTTATCAAATAATGAACTCAGGAAATGGTATGTTATCAAATAGAGAAATGTTCATTACATAATACAGACTTTGTTTATCATCTAAATTTATCAGATTTAAGGTATATGATTTCATCAAGTCAAAATTCTGAAAATATCTTCTGTCAGTGTGAAATCAGATTAATGTTAGGATCAATTGAAAATAAATATTCCTTACTGTTTGATGGTAAACAAAAAGAAAAAATAATTTCAGACATTTATTTGCTTTTACTTAGATATTAATGATTTGAATGAAGAAATATATACCAGTATAACAAACAGTTGAATGGTGAGAATCCCTCATGTTAGATATTAATGAACAATTTCAAAGAACAGTACAGTGACAATAAACCCTCATGTTAGGTATTAATGATCTGCATGTAGTGCAAGAATCAACTGTTGATTAGATACCCTCATGAACAGATTATGTATTTCCAATAACAGCATGATAAAATAAAATAAGCAGAACACTAATCTGTAATCTGAAATATCTATAAACTACTTTCATATCTAGCAAGCAATACAAGTAGAGGTAATTTTGAGAAGTTAAGACATTTCTTATTAAAAATTAGAGAGACTAAAAAAATATGAGAAGGAGGAGGAAGATCTAATAAATATGATGATTTATCTTTTGTTTTCTAGAAACAACAACTGATATTTCTTAAGTTTACTGTGTCATTCAAAATATTCTAGTTATCTCTCTTTACCTGAAAGGTTTTATTTGTTAATCTAAAAAACAAAAAAGAATAATAACATACCTGAGATACACGTGATGCATCATGAATATAATTTGTTGATGTTGAAGACATCTGTTCTACATGAGTATTGGCTATATCTAAGGTATTCTGTTGCAACAGGATGTCTCCCAGCTTTGTGATCTGGGGATTAAGCAGACCCAGTTGGACCAAATTCTGGGTAAACTGTTCATGGTTGACAAACTCATTTAGGTGGTTTAGAGCCGTCTGAAGTGTAGAGCGATAAGACATAACATTACTGAGTAACCAAGCCTGAAACAGAAGAACAATAACAAACAATTAAACAAATGAAACTTCAAACTGAACAACTGAGAAGCATATAGAAATCAATGCTAATATTTCATTTGTTATTAATATGGGTTTAAATTTCTTGTTAGTTTGCTACACAAGATTGACTTTATCTTAGAAGTTAATTTTAGTTCTGATCCTTGTTGTAGATTACCTTGGATCAGAAATTATGAAGGTTAACATTTTCTTAAATCGAAAACATTTCAAACAATACTTACCTTCTCTCACACTTATAGCTATTACTCGACTGCCAGGGTTTCTTCCTTTGCTCATCTAAGCTTTAATCTGATTTTTTTCTTGCTTGCTCCAGTCTTTTATACCACACTTAATTACCTTTGGTGATATTTGTCTGGTGATACTCTTCACCTACATCAATGCACCCTCTATCCTGATACTGTATATAAGTAACTCATTCATATAATGTTGTCAGTTTTTTGAGACTAATTGAATTCACAGTCTTGAACACCGGCTCTTAGTGGGAAGGAAGGGCAGGAGAGTAGAGTGTGAGTACGTATGTTTTGGAAGTTAGCATTTTTTTAAATTGAAAATGTATTCCAATAATACTTACCTCAGCACACACTACAGCTATAATCCCACATTGATAAGGTGGATAGGCTAGTGAAGGCATTATCCATACAAAAAGCATCTGCATAAATCATGGGTGTGTTAATAAAAGATTGGCAACTTAGTGGGAGAACCACATTACATCCAGAAGAAGTATACTCTTCACCTGGTACTTAATTTATGTACTGAGGGTGGAACTTTATGTGATTTATCATCACTATTGCCCAGACCCCAACCAGATAGCTGAGGTTCCACTCCTCGAGGTTGGAATTATAGAGCCATGACCCATAAACCCCATGTTGGTGACTAGAGCAATTGGATTGCAATATATATATATATGTGAGTGGATCCCAACCTGTAGCTACAGAGTGATGTGTTCTGAACCACTGGAATCACGATAAGAAGGTAAGCAGCGATGAAATGGACAAACCTTCTCCTCAACCAGAAGAAGTCTGAAAGGCAACACCCCAGGCTCGGAATGACAGGATTATGTATGCCTTACTCAACAAAAGAAACAGAACTCATCTGGTCTGGAATTATGAACATTCATCATCACTCCCCAACCAAGTGGGCAAGGAGCCTTCCACTTGCCCCTGGAATTATGGGGAGGACATGGAACAACTGTGTTCAACCAAGGACTCAGCATGGGACCACTCGGCATGAACAATGTTGATCATAAAAAGGGCCATGCACACCCCAACTGGATAGCAGAGCATAAAATCTGAATTGGTATTAAAAGTAACTTCTCATGTAGGCTGGTGCCACTGTTACTGAGATATGGGGAAAAAACATCCAGGAACCCAGGAAGGAGGGCTCCCAACTTTGCCAAGAGTGGAGGAATTCACTTGAACATACTGGAGGAAAAGTCTTAGCCCACCACTCCAGTGACTGGAAACTTGGTGTGGTAAGGACCCCCTAGCTCCACCAGTAGAATCTGGGGGGTAATGCACATTTGGGAATCATGAGGAACAGCACTCTGCAAACAATGCAATAGGTGAACCAAGTTCCCTAAATTTTTAAACACAAACCAAGCCCAATTTAATCAATCCAATGATATCCCCTTATGCCTAACTCATGATAGTCCATGAGTGGCAGTTGAGCATAGTACAGTAATACCACCTGGTCTGGCTCTAGGTGGTCTTATGGAACACCTCATTTCTACATAAGGTGTAACTCGATGAGATGACCTGCAGCAGGAGCTTAAGATCTCTGTCAAGCGTGAATCAGAAACACGGTGGAGTGCAAGATAAAAAGCAGTAAAAGTTGTATATGAAAAACTGGATGAATTGCTAGGACTGTTAGAGCAATTAAGTGAAACCAAATGTGGTGCTCATAATATTCTGCAACACAAGCTTACATTTGATTTTCTTGTACTTCAGGACCCATGAATTTTAGAATGAATTTTAGAGAAGCAGCTGCTG